ATAACCACAGAACCTATTCCCCCTCTTTGTCCTTTTAGCTTCGTGTCGCTTGGTCACTTGTGTCCGCAGGGGCTGGAGAAGGGAGAGGGGGGCTGTTACACTCTTGCCCTTCACAGTGTCCTGTGACAGAGGGTGACACAGGCTGACTGGGTGCTGGGTGATGATGCTTCGTTGTGTTTGTTTGGAGCTCGCTGGCTGGTCACCCCATGTGCTGAGCAAAGCTCCGAAGCAATGAAGGTAACTTCATAGAAGGTGCTCAGGGAGGCGCCTCCCTCTGGCAGTGACTCCTAGGCGGGTGGTGCAGGGGGTCTCAGAGTACCGCTGCCTGCAGGCTCTGCCCCTGAAGCTAGTTCCCAGCCAATGAGAGTGCGGAGTTGGTGCTGGGAGGGGGCAGCCCGCAGAGACATCCCACCCCCAGATGCCGCAGGGACGGTCCCGGCTGCTTCCATGTGTGGAGGGTGCTGTCAGCAGGAGCGGCTGGGGGGCCCTGGGCCCTTTAAAATTGTCAAGGCCCTTGGGAAATTGCCCCGTCCCCCCGCCCCATAGGCAGGCCGGTCTGAAGATCATGCAGGGGCACATGGAGCCCTCCTAAAGATAAGGGCAGGGTGGGGGGTCGGCTGATAGATGGGGACGATTCCAGGAAACCAAGGTAAAGGTTGAATCCGCATCAACTTCTTACCGCCTGCCGCTGCCTCAGATGTGTAGCAACACTGCCCCCTAGTGCCTCCGCGCGAAGCCTGATCCACACCGGCGCCATTCCAGCTGGGAATGGGCGATTCTATGTTTGGCTCAGCTGTTGGGATCTGCTCAAGAGTTGGAGACCGAGAATATGCAAATATGCAAATTAACTGTTACCGGTCTGCTAAAAGTTTGTGAATGGGTTTGCGGTCCCTGGTATTAAAAAGTTTGCTCTAGTCTTACCTGCAACCCCGCACGGTCACGTCCGCACTGCTGGATATGGAGCATACTAGTCTGCGAGGACAAAGAACCAGGCTGGGACTCAGGAAACGTGAATGCGGTTCCTGGCTTTGCTCCTGGGTGCTGGGGGACTGCGGGCAAGTCCCTTCTGCTTCCTGTACCTCAGTTTCCCCCTCTGTGAAACGGGGCTGACCGCTCCTTAGAAAGAGCTTCCGAGACTGATGAGAAACAGGTACGAGGGTTTCTGGGAACAGACATGTACGTGGAGTTTGTCAATGGATACCCGGGCGAGATAAATATCCCACATGCAGTCACTTGTGACTGGCTGTAAACCAGCGATGGACAAATACTGGCCCACAGGCCGAATTCCATCTGCCTGGCGGGCCCCCGCATCACCTTATTTAACTGCGACTCCCCAGGTACGGGGGATCACACCTCCTGTTCGCTGTGCGGAGTGCTGGGGGCTAGTAGGAGGGCTACAAAAGGCAGCAAACTGGGTAGTAGGGCTGTCTGGTGCAGCTTCTAGTTTTAGCAAATGCGGAGGAGGGGTCCCACCTGTGAAAGGGAGTTAAGTATCTAACTGCATTTGGGATTCACAGCCCTGTCCTAAAGGTAGGTGCTTCAGATGATACTTAATAACGCTCCCAAGCCCCTTGTGCCAGGGAAGGAGTCGGTGGGGTTTCCTATAGTGGTTAGAGCACTTACCTAGGAAATGAAACAGCCAGGATCATCCCTCTTGAGCCTGATGTGGGAGCAGGAATTTGAGACTCCACTGTCAAAGGGAGGTTGACATGGGGTGCAGGCACCCCTCTTCTCTTTCAGTCCAGTATTTATTTATTCACTGAGGAACACCTTCAAGCAGAGATATTGAAAACCCCTCCTTCAAATCTCCTATCGTATATCACTCAGGGCATTCGCTCCGGGCTGTTTTGCTGCTGACACAGATGACTGTCACAGAAGCCTGTTCTGAAAACTGATTTAACGCTGCAGCCAGAAATAACTAAACAACTGACCGTGACGGGCCTATGAAATTTGGGACAAATGACCCCGGCTTGTTGATCTGGGCAAATGCTCGCCGGAGGGACTAAAGGCTCCAGGGTTGGCAGGACACCTGGGTTCTCTCACTGGGGTTTTTGAAGGGCTGTTGTTTTGGTTTGTGTCACCGTGTCCCGAGCGCAGTAATACCCAGACTGGATCAGCTGGATTTGGGAGCTGGCCCCTGTAGAAAAACAATACAAATACTGTTAATTCCATTCTATTCCTCCTCTTCCCGGCCTTATTCAAGCCCTTGTCTTGCCTCCTAAAGGCAGTCTCTGATCTGCCTTTTAATAAGAGAGAATTTGTCTCCGTCATATTCCTGTGCAGCAGGGAAGGACAATTATCCCCATTTGGCAAAGGGGAAACTGAGGCACAATCTGCTCTGGAGGCTTTTCAATGCTGTGTACGGGATTCTTAATACAGAGTAATGAAACCTGGGCATCAAACCCCACCATCTGGCTTTAAAACTCCACCCCATGAGATCTGCTCAGAGCTGGGATTTAGATTCCAGAGTTCCTGATCCACCTCCTACATCTTCATCTTCAAACCATCTTTGCTCTCTCGGCCCAGCTGTGCCCAGCAGACACCTGCATCCATCCCCTTACCTGAGACAGCCGCCAGAAGGAAACAGAACCCCAGACCGATCATTGTCATTCTCCTCCACCACCTTGTGCGCTGCAAAGCAGGAAACCCGCCGCCTGTTGGCGAGGCTCCCTGGCTGTTCTTTATCAGGCAGTTTCCCTACTTAATTTGCATATGAGCGTGGCTACATCGTGTGACGAAAGCGCGGCTTTGCCCACACGTACAAATAAATGGCCTCAGAATCTGGGGGGACACAGCCACGGAGGAGGCCAGAGCAGAGCTATGGAATCTGGGCCCCGATCTAGGACAACATGGGAGCTACTGTGACCTCAGCGAGGCGTCCGTGTGAGCTAAGGGACAATCGGTGAAGCTGAATGTTACGGTGCCCTGTGGCGGGTTGTCACAATGTCACACCCAGTGGATGTGAAACTGACATAACACAGAGTCCAGGGATGTGTAAACACGGGCACTCTCCAGCGGGGAAATCTGCCTGTGAGCGGTGATCTCAGACCTTCCAAGGGGCGCTGGGCACCGAACTCGTGCGGAATGGGAAGGGATTAGGTTGGACAGAGCCTCGCGCTGAAGAGCCAGCCCAGCCTGCAGAGCTGAAGCCAATAATTCCTGGTGATTATTCCCCGAGTCAGTCTCTGGGCAGAAACGTTTCCGAAGCGAACGTGGCACTTTGCTGCCCCCGTGCGGATCTGTCCCTTCAGTGACCACAGAAGCGATTCCCCCTCTTCGCCCTTTTAGCTTCGTGTCACTTGGTCACTTGTGTCCCTGCAGGCCTGGAGAAGGGGGAGGGGGTTTAATTTGCAGGCTGCCTCAGTTTATCGCTGTATCCAGGGCCACTCACTAACCGGCCCAATGTCTGTCTGCTTCATAGTCTCTCTTCCAAGTGCCCCTCCCCCTCCCCCTCCCCCTCCATCTCACCTGG